AATATGATTTGGTAGGTGGTCTCCTCTAACCTGGTGATTTTTTAATAAAACTACTACTACTACTTTTTTTTTTTACATATATTTTTTTTTCTCACTGGCTAAAAGGAAAATTAAAAAGTTGTATTTCATTTTTTTTTTATTGTGAGATAATTGTCCTACAACAACAACAAAAAAATGTTTTTCAAATTATTATCAAATGTTCCAGCAAAGATGGTTGGTGTTTTATTGACTGACCAATAATTATTTTCTTCTAAAATGAATTTTAGCTACAATAGTTAAAATGAAAACTTTATCTGTTATGGAAAGACTTCAACACGAAGTGGCTATGGAGAAGAACCACCCGATTCAAAGGAGGCCTACCTTCAGCACAGAGGACTTCGACAAGCTTCTACAGAAAATAGCTGTCATGGAGCTGAAAATCCACCAACTGGAAGTAAACTATGATGTAAACGCCGCATATAGTAATGAAACAACGCTGCCTGTGATTCCGAAGGGGAACCACCAGCCCAGCAACTCAGCGAACAAACGAGAATCCCTGTACCACTGTGGGTGCTAGACCAAAGGATCAACGAACCTAGACAAAGAAAACTGGCCGAGACCACAGAGAGATGTCCCAAGAAAAGTGAAACAAAAACGGGATGTTCTCACAACAAATGATAGGAGTAAACCTGCTGGAAATGTTGGAATTCTGTTACAAAACAGATTTGCTCCACTCCAAGATGAGACCCAGAAGGATCACAGCGACAATCAAAGGTATATCAACAATCTTCACTCTAAGCTACCAGAGATAAAACAGGCCACAGGGCCAAGGACCCTGATATTATACAGTGGATCTATAAGTGGGATTAAACATTTCTGTAACAGGAAAAACACAGAGGTGCTGATTTATAACCCTTTGAACTATGGCCTGGTGTCTAATGTATCAGACATCCTTCCAGAGATCATGAACAAAACGCCCGACCTTGGAAAAACTCATCATACAAGCTGAAGCCTTGGGCGACGCAGCCCTGAGAAAATC